CCCACTTGTATATCTAAAATTACCTGATTTTCTTTTCCGAGGCCAAAATTTAATAGTTTTTTCAATTCTTTTCCGTCATTGTCGAAAATTGTAGAGACATTTAATACAGAGTAATCGTCTTTTTCACTTTTTCCAGATTCCGACCATGCGTTTATGACGCCAGAACATTCTCTATTTACATGGTCTGTATTTACATACGGATTATCCGACGAATTAAGTTCGGTATTATCTTCACTTTGATTATTTACAATGTTTACATTTCTACGACGAGATTTACAAAGTCTGGTAAAGTGACCTTTGTATTTACAGGATGTACAGGTAGTATTCTTTGCTGGGCAAACTGCTAGGTTTCCTTTTGAGAAAGTTCCGCCGCACTTCATACAGGTGTTGCTCTTTTCTATTATGAGAGTTGCCTCTCTTTTTACAGTAAAATGGCTTTGCGGTTATGTACAGATGATCCGTTGGATTTAAAATTGATTGTAAGTTTTAAGTGGTTTAAAATTCCCTTTTCATCGATGAGTGCTACATTTAGTGATTCTCGTGGTTGAAGAGTTTCTGTTAAAAGTTTCCTTTGGATGTCGTAGTTTTTCATGTTGTTTATGAAAATATCTCTAATCCATTTTTCTTCTCCCGCGGCTATGTCACAATCTTTAGCCATTTCTGCTAAGGCAACCCAAAATTGTTCGAGATATTCTCTGCCACGTTGTTTTTGATTTAACAATTTGTGCCGTTCAAATGTAACATTTGTTTTTCTGACCGAGGCGGTTGCTAGGAAATCCCAAAATTTTTTAAATGAAATTTGCAAGATTTTTAACGAAGTTTCTTTTTCCTTCATTTCCTAAGGCCAGGTACAAGATTGATCGTAATTTTTTATCTGCTTCCTTTAGTCGCATTCCATTGATTTTCTTGGTTTCTGTTTTAATGGAAGCTGATTCCTCTTCGTCATAACGTCTCTGTTCTTCAACGTTTCTGTCCATTCTCGACTTTCATTGGTTTTCCGTTTCGCCATCCAACGGATTTTTCAAATTTGGAGGTTGAGGATGATGATTCTCCGAAGAATTTGATAGTTTTTCAATGTCTATATTTTCTTTAGCGATGATAGCTAAGTGAAACAGATCGCTCCAATTTTCCCATAGAATTGGGGGATCTACGGTATGGTTTTGCCAAAATGGAGGTTTTCCTCTCACGTTAGATTCGTTATTCGACTGCGCCATGATAAAATGTTACTTTGTTGTGGCTAATTCTAATTTATTCAATTAAGAAGAATAAAAGAATAAAAATGAATTAGTCTAAAGTTAAAATAATCAAAAATTGAAGAGATCAATCTCTCCGCCGGAGAGAATGGCAAGTGCAGGTCATATGTAAGTGACCTGTTAACTAATCAAGTTAAGTAAAGTTTGCAATAAAAGCAAGATAAAAATGCGAATCACAACAATACAATTTCCGGATATTGAGATAGTAGTTTATCCAATTTCTTCAGAGAAGTTTTCTTAATTGAGAATTCAAGGGCTTACTTAATCCACACTCAGTGATAACTCCAACTGTTTTCGCGCTTTTCCAGCTGTCGACCCTCGATTTGCAAATATAAGCTTTTTGGTTGGCTTTCTGGTTAGCTCTTATCCTGTGAAAATGGAATCATGTCTTTGCAAACTGCAACCTGATTGGCTGAAACATCCATGTTTCTCTTAATAGCCATTAATCTTGATATTTCAGAAATGTAGCCAGAAGATCTATTTATTGATGTAATTTTGGCTACTATAAAACGGCTATCGTATCTACTTATTCTATGCGCTTCCCCGCGATGTCTCGAAAGATAATCGACAAGTCCTATTTTGCCCCTGGCATGTTCTTTTACGAAGTCAAATGAAAACATCAGGTAAATCTATCAGGTCAGCCGACTAAACATTGTTTTGTTCTTCCTTTGATTTCCGTTAGGTAATGTCACAAGTGGTTTGTGATCTGTTACTGCCGTGAATTTCTCCATAATTTCATATTTCTGAACTATTCTGCCCCCACACGACCACTAGCTTCTCTAACTCATTAGTTGAGAAAGTTCGTTCCGCCGCGTCTAAGAATCTTGAAGCGAATGATATCGGCCACCAGCCGTCGGTGCCGAACTGCTCCAGCACAGCCGCGAGTGCGTTGTGACTAGCGTCGCACACGATGCATATATTTTTGTGGAAGTCAAAATTGGCATTCAGGAGATCATACCAATTCGTTTTTCTTGCTGAGAAGCGACTGCAGTGGCGCCGGCAAGTACTAATGGAGGCTATGTATTGACCCCATAAACAATTTGAGTTGTGAGAGCGTTTTTGTTGATTGTAGGTTGTCAATTAAATCTGTTTTCTTGACCAACGGAGCGATTCTCGGGGCCGTAATTTTATGACTGAGCCACTCGCACTCCGGCCTCGCAAATTCATTTTTAGTTAGTTTAAGGGCCATATTTTCACGGTCCAACTTATCGGTTTTTTGTAGACAATAGCGATGCGTTCGAAAGGACAAGTATATCATCGATAAGCGCATGGGCGTTAGGAAAGTAGCTTACGATAGAATCCAACACCCTCTGAAATCTCGCGGGAGGTGTTGTAAGGCCGTAAAAACCTGTCTTAAATCGATATATGCCCATCGATTTGCTTTTCACCCAGGAGAAATTACATTGATTACTGGTATCTTTACCTAAGTGCAATTTTCCGTACGCATAGGTTAGACCCATTGTTGTGAAGTACACATTTCCCGCTCACTAATTTTTTCTCACAAATTTTTGGTGCGACACTACTTTTTATTTCTAACTTGTTAATTCAGTTCCCGCGATTCGAGCTTTTACCGACCCTTCCTTTTCAACTGAATTAACTATTGGCGACCCAAAGTTTTAACTGGAGCACTCTTCGAGTTTTTCTATGCTACCTTGACTTAAGAGTTTCTCAATTTCCTTAGCAATTTGTTCTTGCAGTGTAATTGGAACGTGTCTGTCTTTCTGTTGCACTGGCATCAAAGAAGAACTCTATTTGCATCTTATAGTTGCGAATGCGCCCTACCCTTTTTTTAAAAAAAATTAGTAAATTGCTGGCTGAAATGAATTGCCAGTCATCCAGTGGTTAATCCGACTGCTCGGATGGTCGTTGGATGTTCATGACTCAGGCGGCTGCAGCTTGCACAAGTTGTAGTCCTAACTGTGGCAGCAGATCCCGCCCGATGACTGACAGCCTGAATCCCCCGATCTCTTTGATGTCCGCCTCAGCTGACGATCCATTTGAGGTGAGCATCACCTTCATCTTCCTCATCAGTTTTAGCTGACTGTTTCCATAATCTCGGAAATGATCGTCATTTGGCCCCAAAAGTAATAAGTTAACTACCACCGTACCTAGCGTCCACTTTAACTAGTCAACTTTGAAAATCGAAATTAGTGACCCACTGTCAATCCACGCCATCGCTGATTTCCCGTTGATCTTAGTCGGCAGTTTTACACCTGCTAAAGTAAGCTTGTGTTCATCCCTTTCTTCTAATTGCTATGGCGATACAGTCATTTGAGCTGTCCGAGTACCATTCGTGTGATTGCAACTGTTGGTCATTGGGCCATCTGATCGAGTTATCATGTTTCTACGAAACTTCGTTGAGTTCTACAAACTGTTGGTCTATTCCGGCTTGGCCATGTATAAGTCCAAATCGCCCTCTTTTTCTCCCCCGCTTCCGTCGACACGTTCTTTCGTAGTGTCTTCGAATAATTGGTTATTGCGTTTCGGGCCGGAAACATCGCTTATCCGCGCCAACCCTTGACCCTCTCAGAACGATCACCTGCTGCCCTTCTGGAATGGCCTTCCCCATCGGATGGAATTAATTGTTTCCGCTTTTTTTACAACGCCCTGCTGCCGCCGGTGTCAGTCCACCGCCGGTAACCATATAAATCTTGGCGTATTTTCCTCCCTTTAAATTTTATAGTGCGATCTGTTATACTGCGTCGGGCATTTAAGTCGACCTACATAACTCCGTTAGCGCCTCCTTATTAGTCATTTCAACAATGAAGAAGTCTTTGAGGATTATTCGTTCTAGGATATCAAGATTACTTCTTGCCGCCAGTCCGCTTAATACCGAGTGGAGCTGCTCCAGCGTTTCCACCTCCTGCTGTTTCCGTGGCAACAACTGATAAGTTTCGAACTTCTCGTTTCGCTCCCTTTTGAAAATTTTCTCGAACTCGTCCAATATCCGGGGGTACCTGGTAGTCAAAAAATTCAGGTCCTGCTTCCAATTGTGGAGGATGTCTTGCCCGGGTTCCCCAATACACAACTATAGGTTCGAGATGAGCCTCTGTTCCGATGCTGTAGGATTCTTCTCCATTTCATCCGCCGGTAACGCCATGATTTGCGCCGCCGTTGATCCTTTTGCAAAATAGAATGACGTCGGATTGAAGCCATGCTTCGCGATTACGCCGCCATGTAAATCTGTTCATCTAATTTTCCCAGAGCATCGGAGTTCCGCACACACTTACTTGGCCAAAAAGCCGTTATCCCCAACGGGTTTTTTCATCCCCCGATGCTGTTCCCTGCTGTCTGCGCCATGTGAAATACGAGATACTCCAGTAGAGTAAATTACATCTGATAAGGTCAGTGTACACAAACTGTTTTTAAATCCAACAGTCAGCAACAAATGTTGTAGCACCACCGGAACTAAACGTAGCCGTTGGCAGTAATTAATCATGAGACGAAGGTCAATACCAAGGTCGGACTTCAAGAACTAAAAACTAGCATAAATTTATATGACATGTAAAATGTACATATATTACATTTATCTACGTTAAAGCACTTGTAAGACTAACAGTTTCCGGCCCAGCTAGCTACCTGACTGAATCTGATTGAAAAAAAAAACACGTCTTTTCTTTATTTGAGTGAAAACATATTCACTTTTAATTTCATTTGACACAAGATTTCGGCAAAACTGAATAGATTAATGCCAAATATTTTCTTTTGATAAGAAAAACAACAAAAGTTTTCAAATTTTTGACTGGCTTTTTTCCGTAAGGCTCGAAGGTGAGATTGGGTCCCCCGGGGGGCAGAGAGAAGGAGTTGAAGGGGGGTCTGCTGCTGAAATTACAGTTGGGGTGCAGCAGGATCTCACGGACAGCGCTGGCGGAAGACAACACTACAACTTCTTTTGCACCCAGAAACAGCTATAAAAGAAAAAAGAACTATTCAATTCACAAAATGAGCGAGGAGAAAGTTGAGAAATGAAAAAATACATATACAGCCAAAAAAGTTTATAAAAAAATTTGTATCAAAAGCGGATTTGAAAAAACTAAAGGCATTGCAACCGTCAGTGTCTTCGTATAATATCTTCAAACTAATTCTAAGATATACTTAAACCCTTTTCAGCTTAAGAGCTCGGAGTTGAAATATGTCACAGGTAGACGCAAAAATATACATACTAACATGAAAAAAATCTTTGTATAATTAACCGTTAGATCATGAAAAGATTCCTTCTAATTCATTTTCTTAGTATCTGATAAATATGAGCATTCATAAAATAAAAGCAGTTTAAATTTTAAACAGTAAAAACTTCAAAAATGACAATAATGCGGGCAGGGCGACAATTCGTAACAAGAGACAATTCGTAACAGGGCATCGACAAATAGAACATGCTTGCTCCGCTGAGCTTGCATCCGGCACAAGAAGAATACTGCGTGTGAATCAGTTTTCCCCGCTTATTCTGCAGTTACGAAATGTCGCTTGATATGAATTGTCGCCTGTTACGAATTGTCGCCTCTCGAATAAGGTACGAGTTATTTATGTTTCAATCACGAATATAAAAGTCAAGCTGATTTTTTTTGGCATTGAGTTAATTTTAATTAACCCAGACAATTCGGCACTTCTGCATCCATAGTGTAATTATATGACCCATTTTCAATTCTTATGAGCATAGTTGAACTCACCTTGAATCGACCTCCC